AGGGAGGGAGGGAGGGAGTATACCATACATAACAACAATAATAAATGTTTAATTAGTGAAGAAGAAAGCTTAAACTTCTTAACATGGGATTCAAATCCTTCTGCATGACAGGGGATTCGCTGTCTGATCTGGGCTTTTAAAAAAAGCTTTCTATTATCCAAGGGAAGCCATTCAACCTCTCCATGGCTCAGCACCTTTCTAAATTGAGGTTATACTTTTTTGCTAAAGATTTACTTATTTTATGCATGAGCGATATCTGCATGTACACCTTTATGCCAGAAGAGAGCATCACATCCAACTAGAGATGGTTGTGAGCCACAAAGTGGTGGCTGGAAATAGAACTCAGGACCTCTGGAAGGTCAGCCAGTACTCTTAACCACTGGGCCATCTCTCCAGTCCTACATTTTCTAAATTGAAGGATCAGCTGATGGTGTAGCTTCTCAGACATTAATGCGTTAACATACCCAAAGATGAGAGCCAAGCAGAGCCACACATTGATATTGTAATTGTATGTTGCTGGCCCCCAGACCTCCCTTTGAGGAACTCTGAAGTTCTATGCTCTGTTTACTGTGTTTTACACGGTTGGCAGTGTCATGGCCTGTACAATGCTCCCTGCTCCGTGCTTTCTCCATTATTTCTCATGACATGAATCCTGCCCATCTCTGCTGGCTTTTCTCTATGCCGTTCTAGTACCCAAATATTGGTGAAATTATTACGGCCACTCCACGTAGTTAGAAGGAAAGTTTATTAGTGGTGCAACTTACAAATGAAGGGATAGGTAGGTCGCAGGGTCTGGGGAAGGTGTATCGCAGTCCGGCGGTGTTCTCTGGAGCTCTGCTCGGTCAGCCTCCACCGTCCAGGGTCCAGAAACAGAGAGAGCCGCATCCGGCTCTCGGGTCTTCAGGGCCCTCCCTTGGCCCCGCCTTGTAGGCGTGATAGTTACCGAAGCCTCAATGGGGGTTGGAACTTCCAGACCAAAGCTGGAATGGCTACCCACTACACCCAAATCTTCACTTTCTCTACGGTATTACAGTACTCAGTAATAGTGATTGGAATTTGCACTCATTGTCTATAACCATTAACTATAGCTAATTATTGGGTTCATGCAAATATCCAGTTATACACTATTCTTTTTAAATACTGTGAGCCTTAAACAGCATTAACTGTCAACTTGACATAGCCTAGAATCACAGCACTCTGAAAGCAGAGGCAAGCTGATCTTGTGAATTTGAGACCGTCCATGGCTACATAGACAAACTCTGTCTAAGGAAGGAGGGGAGAAAGGAAGGAAAGGAGGAAGGAAGGAAGGAAGGAAGGAAGGAAGGAAGGAAGGAAGGAAGGAAGGAAGGAAGGAA